CCAGCTCACACTCTTAGAATAGATTTATTGCTCGTGGCTGAGAAGGTTAACCGGGTCTTCAGAGTGGTTTTATGGATGGGAAATGGTCAAGTTGTGAACCAAAATCAATTTTGAAACAAACCCGTCTCGATGCAGGTTTGAACTCAGGACTTTCGGGTCGACGGCGAGAGTCTAGCCACTACGCTATCACGGCTCTCACGTTACTGCTGATTATGAGAAATCTGATTATAAACTAATATATTTTAACTAGGTCTGTACCGAATATTCGCTTCGTATTCTCTTCGGGCCGAATAGTGGACCTATTGACTATTCGGCCGAATAGTAGCGGTCGGGCCGAATACGAATAGTAGTTACCTTACACCCGCTTCTGCATACACTGCCTTAATGCTGTCAACATGGAACGATTGGTTTTCTTCAAAGCTAATGCAGTTTTCCTGCATTAACTAAGCTGTCAGTGACCATTTCCAAGTTTAATTACTTTTTATAATACTTAGGATTCTTTCGTTCCTAGTTATTAGTTACAACAGACTGACTGAAGAATGCAAAACATAAAATGTTTTTGAATGTTTACTATTCTGTACGAATACTAGCTAGACATGGAAAGAATATAAACTCCGGCCACATCCAAGTCGATAATATGAAAATCAAACGAACGGAAACATATAAGTACCTGGGTACAAACTTCAACTGCTCCAACATAATAAGAGAAGAAATACAATCTAGAATACAATCTAGAAATAAAGTATACTATGCTCTTCAACATCCGTAAAGTCAAAGTGTCTGTCTCGCAACACCAAGATCAAAATATATAAAACGTGGATAAGACCAGTCGTTTATACGGCTCTGAAACTTGAAGCAGAAAATAAAAGGGATGAGGCCTTATTACAGGTTTTCGAAAGCAGTCTTACGACAAATCTTTGGACCCATCAAAGATGCTAACAGCGGGGAATGGAGAATGAGAAACAGCAACGTAACACATAATCTGTTTGAATCACCATTGTTCAATGGCATCATGAGAGCTAACAAACCAACATGGTTTGGGCATATTGAAAGAATGTCAAATGACAGAGAAGTAAAAACTGTATACACCTGAGAAAGGAATGGGCGTAGACCACGAGGCAGACAAAAAAAGAAGTTCGAGAGATAATGTCCAGCCAGACCTGCACACAACACAAATTGTAAAGATAAGGCCAGCTAGAGATATGAATGGAGACGAGTGATATCTGCAGCAGTAAACCTCAAGGGCTCAGAATGCTAAAGAAGAAGATGACTATTCTGTGCTACTTAATGTGAAGTAAAAGTTCAGGGTACATTTGACATAATAAATGTGTTTTTAAAAATTTTTAAAGATATATTTTATACACTATATACTATTCGTATTCGTATTCGGCCGAATAGTTGGTCCCGTTATTCGTGTTCGGTCGAATAGTGAAAATCACTTTTCGGTACAGCCCTAATTTTAACCAAATCCATATTGATATGTTCAGGTAGCCTAATCTCGCAGAAAATGGTATAATGTCTGTTACATACGACTCGGTCTGACACCTACTTGGACAGACAAATCTCCCTTTCTGATCAGTTTTTGAACCGGCGCCAATTGACCGGGAAAACTTTTACAATTCAGTGCGTTTCAAAAGTGATGACTTCACATTTTAACAAATTTCTCGAAAACGCCTATACATAGATTTTTACACGTGACCTCAGATTGCATATGTCCTTGTAATTTTATAATTAACAATCGCACAGGTGCTGCTGTTTTCTCAAAGTAGCAAAATTCTTTGATCTTTATTTGACTAATAATTTATGTACCCCTAAAAATAGAATTTACTATATTTGACTCACGCGGGCAGATTATTTGGAAAGCAGTTCACATGGGTAGCGACCTGTGAGAATATTTTTGATAGCCTATCCCTCATACAATAAACAATCTACAACTCATGGGGGTCTAATGCTGAAGATCACCGCCGGAGGCACAGGCAAAATAAGTACTAGATATTGGTTTACATTAAACAAAAATTTTTACATGATTAAAAACAGGTTGCATGCCAAATGTCAACAACTTGCACGGAACGGTCTGTGAGTTACAGATTTTTAAAGTTGGCTACGACTTCTGGTACAAACTATAGTCAATGTACTCCTTTAAATGGTTATTCGTGTGTTCATTCCCAACAAATTGTCATTGATAACCAAACATACCCCTGCCTCAGTAAAAAAAAAAAAAAATATAAGAATAATTTCCCAGCAATTAGAAGAATTCTCAGCATAAATGCAAAAATTTGTATCTTCCATGTATGTTATTATTTTCTAAGGAACCGAACATACTCCTGCCTCCGTAAAAACTATAAGAATAATTTCTGAGAATTAGAAGTTTTCTCAGCATAAATGCAAAAGTTCTGTATCTTCCATACATGATATTATTTTCTAAGGATAACAATAACTCTGTAATAAGTAACTGCATTACCAGAACCAATCAGTACAGTGCAGAAATAATCCTTCTCTCGGCGGTTGGACCTTTCTGGGCGCAGCTACTGGATGAACTTTGCGGTGAATTCTCTCATTCTCAAAAATGGGACCAGACAGCTTTGATCACGCTCGTGAGAGGCTGGATCACGCGCCAGAAAAGACATTTTGTGTCTGTTCTTAGTGACACAAATTGGCTAAGAGCATTACATGTGAAGGAGAGAGGGGGAGAGAAATGGAAAGGTGACAGAAAGAAGGGGGAGGGAAGAAGTGAGAGGGAGAGATTGAGGAGGGAAACCATGACTAGATGAAAATAACCGAGATGTATTATGTCACCTATTCGATGAACAGTTATCTCGTGTTATATTCTACTATGACTGTGAAAGAAATGTCTGACAATACTAAGATAAACGACGTTGAAATATATGCATGCAATGCATGTGGCTTTGTATCTGCATTTGTTTTTTTTCTTTTTTTTTTTAACATTCATCCCCTGGAGTAACTTGTACCTGTCTGATATTATCACACACGCAATCGACAGACTAACTAGGATATTTTTCATAAGTATTAATGTTACACACAGCGCCCTAAAGCGTTAATACAATGAGTGTTCAGCTCTAAGCTCTGCAGGTAAAACTACAGAGTGGCGTTTTTCTTCATCTGATTTCAGTTTTACAATTTGACTATTACCCTCTGCTAATTATTTTGACTAGACGATATTACTTATATGTTCTTTTCCTCTGGTCTTCTTCTTCTTTTTCTTCTTCTTCTTCTTCCCTTCTTCTTCTTTTTCTTCTTCTTCTTCTTCTTCTTCTTCTTCTTCTTCTTCTTCTTCTTCTTCTTCTTCTTCTTCTTCTTCTTCTTCTTCTTCTTCTTCTTCTTCTTCTTCTTCTTCTTCTTCTTCTTCTTTCTTCTTCTTCTTCTTCTTCTTTGTCTTCATCTTCTTCTTCTTCCTTGTCTTCATCATCTTCTTCTTCATTTCTTCTTCTTCTTTCTTCTTCTTCTTCTTCTTCTTCTTCTTCTTCTTCTTCTTCTTCTTCTTCTTCTTCTTCTTCTTCTTCTTCTTCTTCTTCTTCTTCTTCTTCTTCTTCTTCTTCTTCTTTTGTCTTCATCTTCTTCTTTTCTTCTCTTCTTCTTCTTCTTCTTCTTTCTTCTTCTTCTTCTTCTTCTTCTTCTTCTTCTTCTTCTTCTTCTTCTTCTTCTTCTTCTTCTTCTTCTTCTTCTTCTTCTTCTTCTTCTTCTTCTTCTTCTTCTTCTTCTTCTTCTTCTTCTTCTTCTTCTTCTTTCTGTCTTTTCTCTTCTTCTTCTTATTCTTCTTCTTCTTCTTCTTCTTCCTTCTTCTTCTTCTTCTTCTTCTTCTTCTTCTTCTTCTTCTTCTTCTTCTTCTTCTTCTTCTTCTTCTTCTTCTTCTTCTTCTTTCTTCTTCTTCTTCTTCTTCTTCTTCTTCTTCTTGTTTCTTCTTCTTCTTCTTCTTCTTCTTCTTCTTCTTCTTCTTCTTCTTCTTCTTCTTCTTCTTCTTCTTCTTCTTCTTCTTCTTTTTCTTCTTCTTTTTCATTCTTCTTCCCCCTCCTTCTTCTTCTTATTCCTTTTTCATTCATTCATTTTTTGGCTATCTTTACTCTCTGGAGGCATTCGCCCTGTAAACTGTGTAGGCACCAGTCTAGTGGTGTATATTTTCTCAGTACGATGTAAATTTTCGATTTGCGACCTCTAATGGCCTCCAGCTGTCAGATCAAAAGTTCACTGTATTTTCATTTCGCTGATTATGATGACCCATACTGTGCTGCCTCATGCAGTTGCCTGTGTGTATCACAGCACGGCACGACGATGCATTGCACGTGGCAGAGAATTCTCTCATACTCGCAAATGGAAGCTTTCAAAAGACATGAGCTCAAAGGAGAGACGTAAGCTCCCATGCTCTGACGACCATATGAACAACTTCTGACAGTTACATCCATTACCGAAACAGTCGTTCTAACACTTACCCACGCTATTTCTGAAGCAGGCAAACAAATATATACCAAACACTAGCTTACTGTTATTTCAAGTTAGGAAATATGCTGGCACGGTCATATTAAGGTGGGCTAGTATTCCTATGTTTTCTATTTGAAGTCACGAGAAGTCGCAAGATTTGCGTTTAAAAAAAAATGCGACAGCAAAGCATAACTTACACTAATTAGGGAGGAGGAAGGGGTCGGAAAAGGGGGGGGGGGGAGGTTTCAGAGGATCCAAGGTTCCAGGGCCTTTGCTTCGGGCTTGATCTTGAATTTTTGTCCAAGGCCTTCTGTATCGTAGGCTTTGGTTTGACCACTCCTTCTGGCAAACGAAGCATCCCAAAATACCCCCATTCAACATCCAAAGAAGTTCAAAAACAGCAGCACACAACAGCACACTTGCACCCTTTCAAATAATGGACTGTCAGGTCAGCTGTGGAATTCCCACGGGAATTTCGTGTTTGGGGTACGTTGTAAATTAAGAATCGTTAGTTTTAGTAGTCACGGGCAGATAACTCTAAACACTTATGTTTGCGTGTTTCCAAAATGGCACCCGTCGATCCGTTTACTATATACGCAGCTGTAGCTGTGTCGATGATATTAATAATATTATTTGTTACCGTTATCAGTAAATTTACACAGTGTAAGTAGTACTAGCTTGGTGTGATTGAACACATTAGGTATACCGTAATATTTTACAGTCGGAAACCTAAGGAATTGATAATTATTTATTTAACGGATAATTTAGCCGACATGACATTGCAATTGACTTTATCTTCCGAATAACGGTCCTAAATTATCGAGGCCGAAAATATAATATACCCTAACAGGGCCTCAGTCACATGTAAATAGCGGACTTTCGGCGACTTAAATTGCGCACTTCCGGCGACTTCCGCCACCGCTGAGAATATGGATTGGGGCTAAACAAGATTGCTGGGGCTCATGAGCAGCAGCTAACGCATCTCCTGCAGCTTCCTTCATTTTATTTGCTCGTGGGTCCCAGCCATCTAGTTTAGCCCCAATCCATATTCTCAGCGGTTGTGGAAGTGCGCAATTTAAGTCGCTGAAAGTCCGCTATTTACATGTGACTAAGCCTGACTGTTAGGGTATATTTTCGGCCGCAATAATTTAGGAACGTTATTTGGAGGATAGCCAAATTGACTAATGAATTATAATAGATTAATAGGGTTCTTTTTCTTCTTCTGTGCTTTCACCAGGTGTAAACTGGTGGAAAGTTATGGTTGTTCGTCCACCTCTGGACTGCAGTCCTGTTCCAGAACCTGAGTGTTGAGTGTTTATCCATTTGACAGATCAGACACATTTGTGTGCAGACTATTGGTTCCTTCCCTCTCAGGCAGATGCACTTAAACTTCAAAGGAAGCTCCTAATTAGTCTACTCTTACGACATGCTTTTGGGTAGGCAGTGTCTATTCTTCTTTTCCCAAAATAGAACCCCGGATTCCCAGACAGGGGTGTGGTTCAGTTTCTGGGATGTTGTATACCAGAATACCTAGGGAATTCTTATCCGAATAGTGACACTTTGCTTCGCCTGGTGTTGACCATCTGCGTTCCTAGTGGGGTTCAACTTCATTCACATATTTTCTGATTTTCATAATTTGAAAAAAAATTGCAAATGACAAACTTTCATTTAATTTAACAGTGCTGCTGCTAAAATTTTAGTGGATTATAATAATTATTTAGTGATTTTTTCCCCTAGTAAACTTATTTCCGCAGAATATTAAATATGATATTTATGAAGGGTTAATGGCCCATGACAAGCTGCTATACTGAGTAATGAGCATTTTGAAAAGTTTGGCTGCCTCTTTTCCTCTGAGTGCTGAGCTACATTATGTGTGATAAGACTAGCATGGTGAAAGTTTAGGTAAAGGCTATTTGAGTTTATTCAGGAAGCAGGATATTGAAAATTATTATCATCACAGGCCAGAGACTCAAGCCGCAGCACAAAAAGATTACTAATGTTTTATTGGCAATGGTCTGTGGGCCACTTGCTAGGCCTCTGCAGGCCACCAGTTGAATAGCCATGCCTCCGTGAATCATAGGGCAGGGTATCCTACCCGGAGTGAATGAATGAATCTAGAACTGACATTACTGCTCTTAGCATTTTCCCAAGTGTGCTCCCTCCCCCTCCCTCATTATTTATTAGACTGGGAGCTGATTGTCTGGACAACATTTAACACTCAGTCAGTGTCAGATGTGATAATCTTATCCTTTACTGGTTTCAAATATTTTGAACTTGTCTGTGTGAATGTGCAAGTATTTTCATTTTAATGTAATCTTTTTTTTTTTTTTTTTTTGCAGCGTCATCTAAAGATGATAAAAAAGAAGCAAAAGTGCGTGCAGGTCCTCCTCCTGCATTGCAAGCAATGGAGGGACCACGTGGAGTACGGCGAAGGGGCCCACGTCCGAATAGAATGAGAATAAATGAAGATGACTCAAGTAATTCTTTTTATTTTTTAAATGTTTTTAATTCAATTCTTGTGCATTGAGTTGTTTGAATTGTTACTGAAATTTATGGCATAAAGAATATTTATTTATCCATTTGCACAATATTTACTTCTCTGTTTATGTTAATACAACACATCAACATCATGGTGCAATGTATAACATATAATTGCTCCATTCTACTTCTAACTCAAGTCCGAAGAATCCCAGTGCAATGCACGAACTCCTTAGCACCAGAGAGGATTCCGAAATACTTTGGGTAGATTTTCAACTCCAAATTATGCCTGGGCAGTGCTGTTAGGCTACTGTTTTCGATTTCCAACTGAAAAGTGTTTTTTACTTGCGCAGCAATACACACAGGCATTTGATTTTACTACCCAGAGACCAGGGGAAATTACTGGGTCCACATGAAAAAATCCCAGCTCATTCTTAGGATTGAACCTGGGACCTCCAGCATTCGAGGCGGACCCCATGCCATTTATTTTTCTCTATGTGCTGCGTCTCCTTCTCTTTGTCTCACTTTCAGTAAGTTGGTTGTAGCCGCAACCGTTCTTTTAAAATGTTTATGGTTATGCCAAGATCAGATCAGATAATACGGGTTATGTAAACATCATGGGGTAAGAGACTGAAGGTAATGAATGATCAGTGGAGAGTTATTCATTCATGCAGTGTCCTAGAATGATGCTGCCTTCTTCAACTGTGGAGCACTCAGATACCAAAGTATATCTTGAGTATATTTAACTCTTGACATCAGTTCAGTATTACTGAATGGAGCGTAAACATGGACTAAAATACTAACTACAGACATAAACTGGTGATTATGGAGGGTAAACAGTAAAGGACCATTTTCCACGCTTTCATGCATATTAGCATATAGAGCCAGATTTTATACACCATTTGGTGGGGGATGTGATAAAAATCCAGCAGCTGCTTTTATTTCCCAGGAATCTGCCAGGTACCAATTTAAGGCTGGGTCGACCTTGGATTATGCTGAATTGAATAAGTGAAATTGTATGAATCATTAATGGTGAGCCTTAGGAGAAAACTAAACAGGGTAAAGTGAATTAAGTGCTGAGGGAAAAGATGCTACTTTTGTAGGCGCACTTTGAGAACTTTCATGCATTGGAACCCACAGAAAACCCCCTTCCCCCCAAAAAAAAAGGTGTGGGATGGGGGGCAGAAAACATACAGAATAAACAAAACTTTATTTTCAAACAGAAAGGAATTGGGCATGCAGGCCTGTTTTAACTTCTGGTCTTTTTAACCTCACTCCTTACATAGATTATTCCTTTCATGCACACACACAGTTAAAGACACTGAATTATCTTGGAAGTAGATGGAGTGAGCTGTATAAGATAGATAGAAGTAGGAAGACTTGGAGAGTTTTCTTCTTCTTCTGCGTTCAACATCAATCATGCTAAACATTGAGTCCTGTCTGGGTCACAAATAGGATTGTGCGTTTAAGGTCGCCACCGGTCCCCCATAGCTTCTCTCGCAATGTGGATCCCCTGGGCCAGATCCACAGTCTTTGCTGGGAGAGGTTAGGGCAGTACTGTAGTATGTGCTCAGGGGTTTGTCTTTCTGCTCCACAATCACAGGCAGCAGATTCCTTTATGCCTATCCTGTACAGGTGTGCTCGAAGACCACAGTGTCCTGTCCAAAGTTTAAAAATTGATGTTTATTCTTTCCTGTTGAGTTTGTTTATGCTGTCACTCTCTGGTCTGTAATCTCCATTCTGCCTTCTCCACTCCTGCTTGAAAGACTGCTTTAGCACTGTTTTGGTTTCCTTGTAGCTGTGTGGTGGATGAGGTTGTGGAAGATTACTCCCAGCTTTTGCCAACTCATCTGCTCTCTCATTTCCTTGAATACCACAGTGGGCTTCCTTGGAGAGTAAGCCAGTGTTGGTCCTTCGATCTGCAATTAGTTTGTCTTGTTTTTTGCTTGATAGTGCTTGGAGAGCAGGCAATGTGTCACTAAGTAAAACAATTTTGTGCCCTCTGCATTCTTGAGTGATGAGATGATAGACTGCAGAAAGGAGGGCAGTTGCCTCAGCTCTAAAGTTAGTGCAGATGTCACCTGCTGGTGGAGAGAGAGAGTTTCTGCTCTACTGTTAGGGGGTTTAATGTATATTCCACAGCCCCCCTTACTGACTGCATCTGTGGCAGAGCCGTCGGTGAAAACCTGAGTCCAAGTGGTGTTGGGATACTTCTCATCAAGCATAGCAAGAGCCAGGGTTCTCTGTTGACTTGGAGAGTGTTAGTTGAGGGCTTTTTTTTTCAGTCAGGGGGTAAAAGGCAAAAGAAGAAGGAACTTCTCATTACATTAGAATGTCAAATATGACCTGGACAAAAAATCCTTAAAAATAAATTGTAGGAGTCTGGTGACTGGATCGTAAGCACACCTTTATTCTCATGACCCATGCAAGAGTAAAGTAGAGGACCCTTTTCCGCGCCTTCAGGCATATTGCTCATATAGGCTAGACCTGTATTTTATAGACTTATCGGCACTGGGTGGTTGATGTAGTCAGCATCACCCTGGCCACCATTACTTCCAAGCACTGTATCTGGTACCCACTCAAGGCTGGGTCGACCTAGGAGCCAAGGTCATTTTCGAAAAATAAAAAGTCCGGCCTCATCAGGACTCAAACTCATGACCTTCAGGTGAACGTCCAGCTACTACACCACGGCGGCTCTCACTTGCAAGAGTACTCATGTAATATCTGAAGTTTATTACCAAAGGTAGTCAAGGTTATTGGGGGGGGGGGGGCAAAGAAGAACCTGGAATGACAGCATCAGAAATAGACAGGACTGACCCCCGTGTGGTTTCAGGGGCCCCATTGTGGGGAAAACAAGAATAGACCCACTGCCTCCCCAAAAGCATGTCGTAAGAGTCGACTAATTGGGGAGCTTCCTTTGAAGTCGGAGTGCATCTGCCGGAGAGGCAAGGAACCAACAGTCTGTATTCAAGAGAATGAGATCTGTAAAACTGATGCACACGCAACACTCAGGTTCTGGTTCTGCAGTTCAATAGTGGACGAGCAACCAGAACCTTCCACCAGAGTTTACAGCTGGTGAACGCGAAGAAGAAGAAGAAGACAGGACTGACTAAATTATTCAAGCCGAAGTCAGAGAAAGGTGGCAGGTTTTGAGTGCTAGTGCACACATCGATACACCTTTATGACCCTAAGGTCAAGGCTTATTTTATATTAACTAAAGAAGATTTGTCTCATTGACCTGTCGGTTACGCATTTTGACAGTTTAGAAGTAAGTCAATAATGTCAACAGAAATTTACCAATATGCAGCTTAATATAATGGTCATTTCAGATGAAGATGAAGAAGATGAGAATGAAGACATTCCACAGCAGTCTGAAGGCAAAGTAGGTGCTAAAAAGATGAAAAAGTTGCAGGAGAAGGCTGAAAAGAAGGCAATGAGAGAGGTAAACAGTTCTTAACTGTCAGTGTTTAGACCATTATTCTGAATTTAAATTTTGTTTGTTTATTTCTATCATGGAATTTATTTATTTCTATCATGGAATTTATCAGATCTTGATAAAATTTGACTGAGCTACTGTATAACAGCAGTCATTAGTACCTGTTCTCATCACAGTCTTATGAGACTGATGCAGATAAGAGTGGTGAGGAGATCTGGCCGATACTTGAAGCTCTGAGGAAAAGCAAGACAGACATATAAGCAGACTGCTACTGGCACCATTGGTTTCGGAACTCTGCACTGACTTCTGAAGATGGGGACGGAACGCTTATCAGAATGCCCTGAGTGCTGTTGGTGTTGGTTCTTGAATCAGTTCAACTCTCAAATCAACCTGCTAAAACTGAATGTTGGGTGACATATGCCAAACCTGACATCTCATATTGTGCCTACGGCTTTGTGTGGAGGAGCACACTGGGGAGTTATATCCTAGGAAGAGGTAATGCAGTCTAAAAGTATAATATTATGGCAAAGCAGAGCAGGCTTCTAACCGTCTTTGGCAGGGAAGTTTCAGTAGGCGGTCACTAATTTTCTTCTGATATGGCAGCTTCTGCAGCAGGCTTTGTTTTAAACTTATTGGTGCTACCTTTCCTTTGAAGTAAATGACAGGTTCATCAATCATCACGTCCTTTACAGAACGAGGCTCTCTTCACGGCACGCCTGAAAGTATCGCTTTCTCTAGCCAGCTCTCCAGCCCCATGTGCTTTCAATGCCAGTGCATCTTCAATGTCTTGTATCCATCCTCGTGGTAGTCGACTCCTGCCTCGCCTTCCACAAACTGCACCTTCCATCACTGTCTTTTCCAAGTCACCATGACGCTTGATGTGGCCAAAATACTTTAACTTTCGGGACAGGATGCTGTTTATGAGCCAGTTTTCTTTGATGTTTAGCTCGATCAGAATGTCGATGTTTTTACAGGCTGAGAGAGGGAATCATTCTGCATGGCAACACACAATCTCTGCAATGCTACCCAGATATTGCGCTACAACTTTTCTTGATGCTAGGGGGTCTTGCAAGTCACACTCGCCATTATTGCAAGTTACACTCACCATTGCTTGCAAGTCACACTCGCCATTGCTTGCAAGTCATACTCACTATTTCTTTGCAAGTCATACTCACTATTGCTTGCAAGTCATACTCGCCATTGTGCTGATGGACTGCCTGCCTGTAGCACATTATAACATTGTCGTTTGGAAAGATGGAAGAGCGCCAGCTAATAGATAGTAGAATGTGTTGCTATAGTTAAAGTGCCAAAAATACTGACTGCTAAATACCAATCTTGGCTTACAGTATGTGGTAATGCTGACAGATGCTAAATCAGTACTTGAAGCACTCCAGTCTAGGAAACTACCAGAATTGCAAACACTGCTGACACAACTCAGCCTTCAGCGAAGAGTTGTAATGCAGTGGATAACGTCACATTGTGGAGTCCCTGGAAATGAGAAAGCTGATCAACTGGCAGGGAAAGGTGCGACAAAAGAGTAGCCGGATGTACCAGTCACATACCACCAAAAGAAAAGAATAATTAAATCGATCAGGAAACCACCAGCCCCAGCACAAGACGACTATTTTATTATGGACAGACCAGAACAAGTCATTATCCTCCGCCTCAGAACAGGGCACAACCGATTACATAACCACATGTACACAAAATTCAAGATAGGTGTATCAGCCATGTGCACCTGTGGAAATGTGCCCCAGACAGCAGAGCATGTACTCCAGGACTGCACCGAATTTGACACATTAAAGCAAACCTTTTGGCCAGAAAGAACAACAGTGGAATGTAAACTCTATGGACCACTGAATGAACTAACAACGACAGTGAAATTTATACAAGAGACAAAACTGCTGATATAGACAACTTATTTCAGGCGAACGGAAAGAAGAAGAAAGAACTGACCTTTGTTGAGAAACTTTGTATTTTTTATTTGATTATCAGAAGCAAAATATTTACTGTTTTATTACTGTGAACATTATTGCCGTTGAGTAATTAGATTCCAATGAAATCAGATTTCTGTGCAGTTTTAAAGAAATAAGTCTAACTCAGATAGATGCAATTTACACTCTTTGTTTCTCAGACTATCTCTCTTGTTTCGTTCACATACACAGACATTCATATATATTAAACACATGGTTCATGAACTTACTGGACTTGTCATTTGGCTAATTTGTTTCTGGCAAGGTTTCAAAACACCCTCAACTGACAGCACACACTCATGAACTTACTGGACTTGTCTTTTGGCTAATTTGTTTCTGGCAAGGTTTCACAACACTCTCAACTGACAGCACACATTCATGAACTTACTGGACTTGTCATTTGGCTAATTTGTTTCTGGCAAGGTTTCACAGCACTATCGACTGACAGCGCACATTCATGAACTTACTGGACTTGTCATTTGGCTAATTTGTTTCTGGCAAGGTTTCACAACACTCTCAACTGACAGCGCACACTCATGAACTTACTGGACTTGTCATTTGGCTAATTTGTTTCTGGCAAGGTTTCACAACACTATCGACTGACAGCGCACATTCATGAACTTACTGGACTTGTCATTTGGCTAATTTGTTTCTGGCAAGGTTTCACAACACTATCGACTGACAGCGCACACTCATGAACTTACTGGACTTGTCATTTGGCTAATTTGTTTCTGGCAAGGTTTCACAACACTCTCGACTGACAGCACACATGTATAGATCAGCATTGATAAGCAGTTGCTTCTCTTATAATTTCTTAGAACACTAATACAGAACTGTGATTGCAAACTTCTAGTAATACTTTCTATCCTTTTTCATATTCCTATTGTTATATTATGTTGTCCATCGTGATGTTGTCCATTCTTCCCGTTCATCCCCAAAACATTCCAGTGCAACACATTTTCACGTTTCAGGTCTTAACATTACCACATGCAATATTGGCTTTATATATTTAGTCAAGTATTCCCATTTAAACCCTAATCAAGATGATTTTATATGTGTGAGCACACACACACACACACACACCTGCTAACTTCTGAAATTGATAGTTTGTAATTCTGCTTTTTTTTTAGCAAGAAGAAAGAGACTGGGAGGAAAGGAAGAAGAGGGAAAAGGAATTGGAAGCAGAACGAAAGAAACAAGAAGAGATAGATAAAAAGGAAGCTGCCTTACGTGTAAGTATATGGGGATATCAAAGTTAGTTGCGTACCCTTTTCAAGAGGTTGTAGAACCAAGCCCAGCATTTTTACAAGGCAATTTCGTTTTCAGCAGTTTGTCTTTGCTTTCTGGACTTACGGCTCGATATTATTGTGAGAATCAGCACAGAGCTCTCTGCACTATGTTGATTAATTCATCATGATGTATAAGCATTGTGACTGACCATATAAATTGTGACTCTTAAGTTGAAGTTTTCAAGCCTTAAAAATCTGTCGAGAACTAAGCGTCGACTTATAGGGCAGGTATGAAATGCTGATTAGATAATAATTGTGTAAAATAAAAGTAAATGTCCCCTTTTTTCGTGCCTTTAGGCGTATTAGGAATATAGGGCTAGATCTATATTTTTATAGACCAATCAGCACCTGGTGGGTGATATGGTCAGCATCACGCCAGCCGCCTTTACTTCCCAGGACTGCACCTCGTACCCACTTAAGGCATATATATATTGAGGAAACCAACAACCCACCAATACTTTTTTTGCCATCCTAATATAGATTTACTATACATATATATGTATACATATATGTGTATATATATATATACATATATATATATATATATATATATATATATATATATATACATGTATATATAATATATATATATATACACATGTATGTATAGTAAATCTATATTAGGATGGGAAAAAAAGTATTGGTGGGTTGCTGGTTTCTTAAATTTGTATCACAGATCCCCTAAATTTGTTGTGCAGACGCTTGATGATCTGTGGACCACCCATTTTTTCTCAAACAGAGTTTTCTAGAGCCATATTCTGCATTCTGTGGTCCATGGATCAGCAGGGATCTACATAAATTGCCATGGGTCTGCCAGATATGTCCATCCAATCATGTAGAAGTTATCATAAAAACCATTATTGATGGGCAGTAGCCATTGCTGCCTATCAATCTGGGAAATTGAATGGATATAATTGCAGTGCTTTTTCTTTTGACAATAACGCTCCAGGCTTGTATATCAGATTTGCTATCATCTGAGCTGCAGCAAATGTTACATTGCTAAGAACTGTGTAAGAACTGTAATTTTATAACATTGAATATAATTAATAAAATAATATTTGCTTCAGTATTTGTTTTTGCCGCAACCTTCAGTCAGTCTGCAGGTGTAAAAAAAAAAAGATTGAGGAAAACTGGTCTGTGGGATTCACAGTCAAGCTGGTCTAGGAAATTCACAGTCAAGCTGGTCTAGAGGATTCACAGTGAACATGTTTTGCAAAGGCTGTAATCCTATCCTGTAAAACAATTTTGATTACATAATTCAACCAGTCAAAAACATTTCTGATAAAAAAGAAAGAGAAGAAAACATTTAAACCTGTACAGCAGGAATAGAAGGGCTTAGCGTAAAAGATATGAAAGATAAAATACATTTTAAAATCTCTAGTTGCAAACTGTGTGATAGATATTATTGCAGTGCCTTATCTCTCAGAAACAACGCTCCAGTCTTGTAAATCAGATTTTCTAATATCTGGCTGGGTGGCATTCACATAGGTAAGAAATTGGTTTACCTCCGCACTCTTACCCAAGTGGACACCAGCACTGATCAGCAATTATAAATATGGACTGTAAGAATTATTTTAAAAATTATTTAATTTCTGTTGTTACAGGAAGAAGAGGAAAAGAAGATCAGAGAAGAACAAGAACAGAGAGAGCATGAGGAATACCTGAAGATGAAAGAGATGTTTTCTGTTGAGGAAGAAGGAGAAGGAGAGCAGGATGCTAACTTGAATGTGAGTGCTGCATGCCTTCTTGTTCATGTTTTTTTACATTCTGACAGCAAACTGGTCGCACGTTACTTGTAAGAGAGTAGTAAGCTGATTAAATTTTAGGATTTTTGAAAGTGCTTTTCTGTCTCTCAATGCTACCATTTCTTTTCCATGAAAAATAGCTCTCCTCTTCATATTTATATTCACCAGCTGTAAACTGCCGTGGAAAGTTCTGGTTGTTTGTCCGCTTCTGGACTTCAGTCTTGTTCCAGAAAATGAGTTTCATGTGCACGTTTGTTTTGCAGATTTGGTTGATTTGTATGCAGACTGTTGGTTCCTCGCCTCTCTGACTGATGCACTCCGACTCTGAAGGAAACACCCCTAATTGATCACCTTGTACGATATGCTTGTTAGAGAGGCAGTGAGTTTATTCTTTATTTCTTCTTTCCCCCCCCCCCCCCCCCCCACCCCAGTTGAGGGCTCTGGAACTAACACTGGCAGAAGAAATAGCCACAACTGCATGCATTATGGCAGATTATTAAAACATTTGAACTGGCTATTCAACATGCAAAAGATATAGCAGGAAAATAGCTACTACTAATACTGTAGTTATGCAGGTCTAGCAGAATTCTTGGTCCGCTACATATAGGGTTGAATGTTACTTGTCTAAAGCAAGTTAAAGAAGTTGAAAGATCAGAAAATATAAACAAGATGCCAACAAGCCAGTGCACTTATATACCAACTGACACCGTTTATTAAGACATCCGACCTTATCTAGGAGATGATGGATTGATGACATCAAAGAGCTTTACATTGACATGGGATGACAGTAGCCATTGCCGCCCATCAAGCAATGGATCTCAAACTGTTTCTCTCCATAGCACTTAAAGACAGAAGTGGAAATTGATGATGATGATGAGTGATTAAAGACAGAAGTGGAAATTGATGATGCTGATGAGTGATTAAAGACAAGTGTAAATTGATGATGATGATGGGTGATTAAAGACACAAGTGTAAATTGATGATGATGGGTGATTAAAGACATAACTGGAAAATGATGATGATGATGAGTGATTAAAGACAGAAGTGGAAATTGATGATGATGATGATGAGTGATTAAAGACAGAAGTGGAAATTGATGATGATGATGGGTGATTGAAGACAGAAGTGGAAATTGATGATGATGATGGGTGATTAAAGACAGAAGTGGAAATTGATGATGATGATGGGTGATTAAAGACAGAAGTGGAAATTAATGATGATGATGGGTGATTAAAGACAGCAGTGGAAATTGATGATGATGATGAGTGATTAAAGACAGAAGTGGAAATTGATGATGATGATGGGTGATTAAAGACAGAAGTGGAAATTGATGATGATGATTGGTGATTAAAGACAGAAGTGGAAATTGATGATGATGATGGGTGATTAAAGACAGAAGTGGAAATTAATGATGATGATGAGTGATTAAAGACAGAAGTGAAAATTTATGATGATGATGGATGATTAAAGACAGAAGTGGAAATTGATGATGATGATGATGGGTGATTAAAGACAGCAGTGGAAATTGATGATGATGATGAGTGATTAAAGACAGAAGTGAACATTGATGATGATGATGAGTGATAACATTTATTAAATCTGACATCTTTTAAGCAAAATGATCCTGTTTTCAAGAAAGTATTGGCAAGTGACAGAAAAACAGAAATGATTACTTAATTCCTAATGAAAAAATAGCTTCATTTCACAAAAGCCTCCAGAAAAACACAAAAATATGTAAATTAGTGACATTTTTAGACACTTCACCTTTTTCACCTTCTGTTTTTCTTCTCCATTCCCACTTTGAGGTCATCTGTTTTTTTTTAAATCTTTATTTTCCTACCATCATCATAGTCCCCTTTATTTGATCTGTTCAGTTTTGAATTCAGCTAAAAGCTTACACTGTTTCTATTTTGTTTATTTTTGTTTTCTTTTAATATATTTGCATTGCTTTTAATACATTGCTTAAATGCATTTGTACTATTAATTGCAGTGATAAAAAACATTGTTAAAGTGTTGTATTCCCTACTTTGTTATATATATATCTGAATCATGGGCAACAAATGAACTAACCAGGAAACAGAATGATGGGCGAAGAAGTGCAGTGTCTGAGGAAACAATACCTTGGACAGACAGAAAAATGAAAATGGCAATTCAGCAAAGAACAGATAAAATCATACTTCAGTTAAAGAATTTAGATGTAGACAGTAAAGAATTGTTAAGATATATAAGAAGAAATAAACTTGATACCATGCAACCTCTCTATGGGCTTTCTGGGACCAATTTGTTGGTTGGATGGGAGGGGGGGGGGGGGGTTGGACCCACTGCCCTGAAATTAGATGTGTTGGACCAAAAGTGCAAATATTGCATCTAGCTGTCTCCATGAGTGTGATGTGTATAAAAAGTTGTTATATGTTAACTCCATGAATGTGATGTGGATAAAAAGTTGTTATATGTTAACTCCATGAGTGTGATGTGTATAAAAAGTTGTTATATGTTAACTCCATGAGTGTGATGTGGATACAAAGTTGTTATATGTTAACTCCATGAATGTGATGTGGATAAAAAGTTGTTATATGTTAACTCCATGAGTGTGATGTTTATAAAAAGTTGTTATATGTTAACTCCATGAGTGTGATGTGCATAAAAAAATGTTATATGTTAACTCCATGAGTGTGATGTGGATAAAAGGTTGTTATATGTTAGGTACTCCATAGTGTGATGTGTATCTCTGCGTAGTAGTCATATGTTTGCACTCCATGAGTGTGATGTGGATAAAAAGTTGTTATATGTTAACTCCATGAGTGTGATGTGTATAAAAAGTTGTTTTGCACAACCTTCTGTTAACTCCATGAGTGTGATTTGTATAAAAACCTTTGTTACATGTTAACTCCATGAGTGTTCTGTGTATGCGTAGTTGTTATATGTTAACAACCTTCTGTCTGTGAATAAAAAGTAGTCATATCTTAACAACCTCCATGAGTATGATGTGTATAAAAAGTTGTTATATGTTAACTCCATGAGTGTGATGTTTATAAAAAGTTGTTATATGTTAACTCCATGAGTGTGATGTGCATAAAAAAATGTTATATGTTAACTCCATGAGTGTGATGTGGATAAAAAGTTGTTATATGTTAACTCCATGAGTGTGATGTGTATAAAAAGTTGTTATATGTTAACTCCATGAGTGTGATGTGGATAAAAAGTTGTTATATGTTAACTCCATGAGTGTGATGTGTATAAAAAGTTCTGTCTCTGTTAACTCCATGAGTAGTCATATGTTTGCAAAACCTTCTGTTATATAGTTAACTCCATGAGTGTGATGTGTATAAAAAGTCATATATATGTTAACTCCACCTGTGATGTGGAGGTAAAAAGTTGTTATATGTTAACTCCATGAGTGTGATGTGTCTAAAAAGTTGTTATATGTTAACTCAACCTTCTGTGTGATGTGGATAAAAAGTTAGTTATATGTTAACTCCATGAGTGTGATCTTTATAAAAGTTTGTTATATGTTAACTCCATGAGTGTGATGTGTATAGGTAGTTGTTATATTTGTTAACTCTTCTGAGTGTGATGTGGGTAAAAATATTGTTGCACAAAAGTTGTCTATATAGTTAACTTTGCATGAGTGTGATGTTTATAAAAAGTTGTTATAAGTTATATCTCCATGAGTGTGATGTGTATGCGTAGTTAGTCATATGTTTCCACAACCTGTGTCTGGATAAAAAGGTTGTTATATGTTAACTCAATGAGTGTGATGTGTATAAAAAGTTGTTATATGTTAACTCCATGAGTGTGATGTGGATAAACAGTTCTTTGCACATGTTAACTCCATGAGTAGTGGTGTTTATAAAAAACCTTCTATGTTAACTCCATGAGTGTGATGTGTATAAAAAGTTGTTATATGTTAACTCCATGTAGTGTGATGTTTATAAAAAGTTGTTATATGTTAACTCCATATCTTTGCACATGTTCTGTCTTTGCGTAGGTTATATATCTTTGCACAACCATGAGTCTGATGTGTAGGTACAAATCTTTGTTATATGTTCTGTCTCTGCGTAGGTAGTCATATCTTTGCACAACCTTCTGTCTTCCTTAGGTAGTCATATCTTTGCAGAAGTTTCTGTCTCCGTATTGTGTTACATATTTTTGCACAGAGTTCTGTCCCTGCTAGGTATCATATCTTTGCACAACCTTCTGTCTTTGCGTAGGTAGTTTATCTTTGCACAACCTTCTGTCTTTGCGTAGGTAGTCCTATCTTTGCATGGCCTTCTGTCTTTGCGTAGGTAGTCATTTGACTTACTACCTTCTGTCTGCATAGGTAGTCATATTTTCACAACCTTCTGTCTTAAGGTAGTCATATCTTTGGTCACAATATATATTCTGTAACTCACACACAGAAGGTGTTTAAAATATTTGCACAACCTTCTGACTTGCGTAGGTAGTCTTAACTTTGCACAACCTTCTGTCTCTGCGTAGGTAGTATATCTTTGCACGTTCTTCTTTGCGTAGGTATCAAAATCTTTGCAAACCCTTCTGTCTTATGCGTAGGTAGTCATATCTTTGCACACTTCTGTCTCTGCGTAGGTAGTCATATCTTTGCATCAACCTTCTGTCTTTGCGTAGGTAGTCATATCTTTGAGACAACCTTCTGTCTTTGCGTAGGCCAGGCTTCTTTTGCTTCTTATTCTCCATTCACCTCTGCGTAGGTAGTCATATCTTTGCACAATTTTCTGTCTCTGCGTAGGTAGTCATATCTTTGCACAATTTTCTGTCTCTGCATAGGTAGTCATATCTTTGCACAACCTTCTGTCTCTGCGTAGGTAGTCATATCTTTGCACAACCTTCTGTCTCTGCGTAGGTAGTCATATCTTTGCACAACCTTCTGTCTCTGCGTAGGTAGTCATATCTTTGCACAACCTTCTGTCTCTGCGTAGGTAGTCATATCTTTGCCCAACCTTCTGTCTCTGCGTAGGTAGTCATATCTTTGCACAACCTTCTGTCTCTGCGTAGGTAGTCATATCTTTGCACAACCTTCTGTCTCTGCGTAGGTAGTCATATCTTTGCACAACCTTCTGTCTCTGCGTAGGTAGTCATATCTTTGCACAACCTTCTGTCTCTGCGTAGGTAGTCATATCTTTGCACAACCTTCTGTCTCTGCGTAGGTAGTCATATCTTTGCACAACCTTCTGTCTCTGCGTAGGTAGTCATATCTTTGCACAACCTTCTGTCTCTGCGTAGGTAGTCATATCTTTGCACAACCTTCTGTCTCTGCGTAGGTAGTCATATCTTTGCACAACCTTCTGTCTCTGCGTAGGTAGTCATATCTTTGCACAATTTTCTGTCTCATATTCTTTCAATCATTGCTGACAGAGATCACCCACGCTGTAAGGTCAAACTGTTCTTGAACTGCCCTTAGCAATGTTCACATTCAGTGATGTGTGTACCTACATCACTGGTTTTTGTTTAATTATTTTTTTTGCTAAGTGCTGACAGTGGGTTGTAGTTTCTTTCTGTGAGATCATTGCCCTTGCTGTTAGTGTGAAGGGTTGACTTGTACCTACAGAGACCAGGCAGCTGAAGAAAAATGCAAGTGGATTTCAAAAGAGTATCTGGTGTTAGTTTATTCACTTTGATCAGGGATGATGTCTGGGAGCAGTGGCTAAAGAGTGGCTCTAGATAATATTGAAGAAATATATATATATATATATATATGCATTCAGACAAGATATCAAATCATAATCACAAATGACAAGTGATCATTATGGCTAGACAGTCTTTAGCATTACATGACATAAGTAGACAGTGTTACGTTTCTAAACAAGAATAGACAAAAATTAGTTATGTGTTTCCAAGAAAATTACACGTCTCGCTAATAAGTTGAAGCTCTGATGCACGTGTAATTACAGGAAATTGGTACAAATATGCATGAGAAATCAGCTGTAAATTTTATTGGATAAGAACTTGTCATGTTATGCACTTTAGTTCAGTGTTGAGAAATGTGAACAGAACTCTCTCCCCCATGTGGGTTACGGGTCCCCATTTGGGGAAAAAAATATTTGACACCACTAATATCACAGCACATTTTTAGACTTACAGCTTTATTTTTTTGTTGTATCTTTTTGTCTCCTAGGAAACTAAAGTTGTTATGTTGGAAGATCTGGCTGGCCATTTTAAACTAAAAACACAAGTCAGTACCATTTATGTTACTTTTTTATGGTTGATAAGCTGCATGCAATTTTTTGTTTTAAAGTTTTCATTCTTTTTCTGTATTTTGAAAATAAATGGGAACTTCCATGTCCACTCAGCCAAAAATGGGCACCAGGACAGTTTCTTTAAAGTAGGCGCAGCTGGAATTACACGGACCATTTCACCCATTGACTGGCGTGTTAAAAAAATATGAGGCAGGACTTGGTGCCTTGCAGTAATAAAACAGTGACTCTAAATTGCTTCTGTGACAAAAGAGTATTGATAATGAATCATGATGTCACATTCAATGTTTAGCAACCAACAGTTATTGTTTTCTGTCTGTATATACTTTATAAAAGATTATTATTCTTTTTCCAGATTTGTTTGTGGATTTTGCTTTTCACATATGGGTTTTTTATTTATTTTTTATTTTGTGACTTAAATAAATTGTTTTGCTAAATGGCATCCAGTTATATCAGTTTTTAAATCTCCCTGATTTATAATTTTCAGGAAGTGATTCAGAGAGTTCAAGATCTCCAAGCTGAAGGTCGCTTAACGGGAGTGATTGATGACCGGGGAAAGTTTATATATATTACCATGGAAGAGCTGGAGGCAGTAGCTCGCTATATTCGCCAGTGTGGGCGAGTTTCCATTGCAGATCTAGCCACATGTAGCAACAGATTGATTAACCTTGACCCAGACACTTCCTCCACGGCACTCAAAATGGCCTCACAGCTAGTTGAACAGGTGACAGTTGATGAGGTTGCATCCTAGTGAATGCATACAGAAATAAACATGGCTGTTATATTTGACTCCGATGGTGGCGGCATTGTTGTGTAATTTTAAAATGTTTTACTGTGCGTATATTTTTTTTGTTGGCACGACAGTGTTTAATGTACTTCAGAACTCCAAGATGTTCTGTGGCCGGGCTGTTCCCCTGGCGGGCCAAATTCGGCCTGCAGAGGCTTAACAAGTGGCTAGCAGATCATTGCCAACTGTATTGTATTAATGAGCTTTCTGTGCTGGGGCTGGAGCCGGGGATCACTTGGTGATCCCGTCTGTCAACATTTGGTCTCTGAATAAACACTTTTAAATGAGTTATGAGTTAGATTATCTTCACAGCACTCCGGACACATCCATAGGCGCTCAGATTCCCCTCTCAACATATTCATCAGCGTCGTGCGGGTAATAGTGCCAGTCCTATGTTGGTTAACAAGACTTTGTTTGCGTCCAGTGTGCTTCTCATGCTTGGCTGTGCCGATCTTTACTCCCAATTCGCATATTTTTAGAAGTGATGTGGACACGTTGCTTCCAAAATCCTCAGAACGTCCTATCTCTCTAAGGGCAATGACGTCTACGTGATCCATGGGCCGGCCATCTTCAATTAATGCAGTGCCTGCCAGTCTAAAACCCTTTTAAATGGTCCTGTTCTTTGGGGATTGTGTAAGTATTTACCAGTTATTGATAGAATTCCTGAAAGAAATTAAAAAAGAAATTGAAATATTTCAGCCACATTGAAAAACATGAAATTATGAAAAAGCCAAAGGTAAGAGTGCAAGAGGCATACAGGGATACATGCGGAAAGATAGATTAAGAGATGGATGAGCGGCAGTCTGAGAGACTGCGCTACCAAGATATGAGACAGGTGTTTTGGAGATCTATTGCAGCCAACCTTCATGATTGAGTGAGGTTGGTAGAAAGATTTATCTTCCAATCTGGAACCAAATTGTCTCTATGCAGACAGTTTTAAAGCTGTTCTTTCCTGCTCCAAGCTCAGAAATTAAATCTTTCAGAAAGTTAGAGGTAACGGGATCAAAGGTTAAGTATAAGTATTTCAGGTAACAGTGTTTCATTTATTGTGAGATTTCTTTTTGTGCTTGTGTGTTTCACTGTCAATATTATATTAAAAGAAACATGCACAGCTTTTAACTGGGTCTGGTGCGTATTCTGTTTATTTAAATATACAAATTTTTTGTTTGTTTCTCATTTGTATTTTCTTTCTTTCAATTTGTGAAATTTAATTTGGTGCAAATAATATGTATACTTTACATTCTGATTAAAATATATAATTAAGTCATAATGCAAAATACCAGACTGTAATGTGTGTAAGCTGTTAAGGGAGTGTCACTTGTGCTAGACTGTAATGTGTGTAAGCTCTTGATTTAGTGTCACTTGTGCTAGACTGTAATGTGTGTAAGCTCTTGATTTAGTGTCACTTGTGCTAGACTGTAATGTGTGTAAGCTCTTGATGTAGTGGCACTTATGCTAGACTGTAATGTGTGTAAGCTCTTGATTTAGTGTCACTTGTGCTAGACTGTAATGTGTGTAAGCTCTTGATGTAGTGTCACTTGTGCTAGACTGTAATGTGTGTAAGCTCTTGATTTAGTGTCACTTGTGCTAGACTGTAATGTGTGTAAGCTCTTGATTTAGTGTCACTTGTGCTAGACTGTAATGTGTGTAAGCTCTTGATTTAGTGTCACTTGTGCTAGACTGTAATGTGTGTAAGCTCTTGGTGTAGTGTCACTTGTGCTAGACTGTAATGTGTGTAAGCTCTTGGTCGAATGTCACATTGCTAGACTAAGGTATATTAGCTCTTTGAGTAGTGTTACTTGTGCTAGACTGATGTATATAAGCTGCTGATGTAGTGTCACTTGTGCTATACTGTAATGTATATAAGCTCCTAGTGAAGTGTCACTTGTGCTATACTGTAATGTATATAAGCTCCTAGTGAAGTGTCACTTGTGCTATACTGTAATGTATATAAGCTCCTAGTGAAGTGTCACTTGTGCTATACTGTAATGTATATAAGCTCCTAGTGAAGTGTCACTTGTGCTATACTGTAATGTATATAAGCTCCTAGTGTAGTGTCACTTGTGCTATACTGTAATGTATATAAGCTCCTAGTGTAGTGTCACTTGTGCTATACTGTAATGTATATAAGCTCCTAGTGAAGTGTCACTTGTGCTATACTGTAATGTATATAAACTCCTGGTGGAGTGTCACTTGTGCTTGCCTGTAAGGTTTATTCGCTGTTTGGGTAATGTCACTTATGCTAGACTGTGTATGTTAGCTCTTGGTGTGGTGTCACTTAGTGGTAATACTTTGACGGAGATTAAAGAAATATTGAAAAGTGGAAATAGTACTGGGGAGAAATGTACAAAGGTGTAACAGGTAGGTCATATAGTACAGTGGAAGTTAAAACGAAAGAACTTGAGCCTTTATTAGAGGAAGTAAGAACAACAATACAGAATTTGAGAAAAGCAAAATCTCCAGAATGTGACTTCATACCAGCAGAGTTAATACAGGCAGGGAGAGAAGCCAATATCAATATATATCATGCACTCTGTATGAAAATCTGGAACAGTGCTGACTGGCTCAAAATATGGAAAAGAACAGTCCACGTTCTCCCCCTGAAGAAAGAGAATCTTAAATTATGTACCAGCTATTAAACTGTAGCTCTGATCAGCCGTGCCAGCAAAATTCTTCTGCAGATTAATCTTGAAGAGGATTGAAATGAAACAAGAATTTGAATTGCAAGAAGTACAAGCAGGTTTTTATATGCGGTAGAGGAACAAGGAATCACATTTTCAACATAAGAATCATCCGCGAGAAATGCAGAGAGTGTAAGATAGATCTCTGTGTATGCTTCATAAATTACAGCAAGGCTTTGACTGTGTTCAACACCTGAAACTGGCGTATACTGAGGTACATGGGGTTTACAACACATTTGGTGCATCTAATTGAATCTCTTTATCATGAACAACAAGCAGCAGTTAGAATAGCTGGTGAAACATACAATTGGTTTGAGGTGGAGAGAGGAGAAAGACAGGACTGCATTCTCTCCCTATCCCTTTTTGCTGTAGTGCCTTTTAGTGTAAGGTTTTGAAGAGGCATCAGATGAGATCCTTGGTATCTGCTATGTAGGTACTGATATTTACAGCCTCGGATATTCTATCTATCCATCGCTTGCGTGGTCGACCTCTAGGTTTGGGTCATTCTCCTACTGCTCTAGTTCTTAGTGCCTTTCAGTGTCAGGTCTTGAAGAGGCATCGGATGATATCCTTGGTATTTGTTATGTAGGTACTGATATTTACAGCCTCGGATATTCTATCTATTCATCGCTTGCGTGGTCGACTTCTAGATCTGCTTCCATTCTGTCTAAGTGACATTCATTTCTGTGTTGCAGTGTCTGGTGGTAGTCTTGACATATATCCAGACCACTTGACCTGTTGTTTCTTGATGTAGTTGAAGAATAGAATAGATCCACTGCCGCCTCATAAACGTGTACAAAGCGGCTATGGGGCGTTTCCTTCAAAGTTTGCATCTGCCTGAAAAGCGAGAAACCAACAGTCTGCATACAAATAAGTTAGATATGCAAAATGGATGTGCATAAAAAACTCAAGTTCTGGAAATATGGTCAAAGTCCAAAAGGGGACGACCAGCCAGGACTTTCCACCGCAGTTTAAAGCCGGTGAGTGCAAAGAAGAGGAGAAGTTGATTAAAGGACAAGATATTCCAGACCGGGAAAAGGTAAATTAACCTTTGTGAAAAAAAAAAAGGGGGGGGGGGATAGGGCAAAGAATGAGAATGAAAAGCAAATAGTGGTAGGGCATGGACATTCTTGAATAGCTCAAAGTGTTTCCAGTTGGCTTTAATGAGAGGGATGCTCAGTAAAGAAGACGTTTCTGAGTGACGGTGGTGTTGTGCGAATATTTTTTTTTTTTTTATTATTATGTTTTCGTCGTATTTACATTTCTAGTTTTTTAATAACGTGCACGTATCATTCTTCTTCACGCACACCAGATGTAAACACCGGTTGTTCGTTCATATCTAATAAGTAAAGTAAAGGACCCTTTTCCACGCCTTTAGGCATTTAGGGCTAGACCTATATTTTTATAGACCAATTGGCACAAGATGGGTGATGTGGTCAGCATCACGCCGGCCGCCTTTACTTCCCGGGACTGTACCCGGTACCCACTTAAGGCTGGATCGATCTGGGAGCCAAGGTCATTTTTGAAAATAGTCAGGCTCCGCCAGGGAGTGAACCCACGAGCTTCCGATGCGCTACGAGCGTCTAGCCGCTCGGCCACGGGGACTCCCTCATATCCAATACATATAAGAATTTATGGGAAAAGAAATGCAAAGAATAGCTCGTGGATCGCCATGCTTGTTTTATTGATTATAACAAGATATTGTATTTTATGAACAGCAAGCAGATACTGAAGTAGATGGGAAAAAGGGGAATGGGGGGGGGGGGGGTGGGCATAAGATTAGTTCGACTTAAGCTGTGTTCCAGAATCCGTTTTATCAAACTGACCTATTACTACTCACACTGTTGGTTTCTTGCCTCTCTGGCAGATCTACTCCGACTTAGAAGGAAGCCTGCAGTTAGTCAATTCTTACAACTGCTTGTTAGGGAAGTAGTGAGTCTGTTCTTGTTTTTCCCATAGTGGGCCCCTGAATCCAAACGGGGAGGTATCTAATTCTAAACCTGGCCAATTTCTGTGCGCATCTGGCAATATGTAACATCTAAAATGGCCGGTGTCTAATTACTGTGTCAATGCAACAGGCACTTTTACTTATCAGTGCCCAGCCGATTTATTTTTAGATAAGACAAACATGTTCTGCATAGTGGGTGAATGACCATGTATATCGTTTTCTGAGTGGGTCATTTCTCTGTGTATAGGAAAAGCTTAGACTTACCATTGATAATTAAATTAACATCATATAGGCTGCATTTCCAAGCTATTTGAAATTTCTTTCTCGGGCATTTT